GGTGAGTGGCTCTCTTGATCAAAATTGGATGACTAGATAGTAGAACAAGCATAGATCTTTTATATGGTACGGGAAGTATAGAAACCTTTTCCATATTTTATTGAGCAATGATCCAATGCAAAGGTTGTATCATAGTATAATGCAACGACACTTCTAGAAAACCATGTTTGTAGTATTTGTATGGCTTCAAATTTTGCACACACACTCTCTTCATCTTAATAATCAATCCCAACAAAAAAAAAAAGTTAAATTTGAATGCTAGATATGGTCAAAATGAGTCCCCTCCAAAAATGAATCTAGACCATTCATTTTGTGAATTTCAAGATCTTAGCCTTTATAAACTCAAAATCATTTTTTTCTTTTTTAACATTATTCATCTAATGATAATAAAGTCATCCAAAAAAATTGAAAATGAAAAAATCCTTGTAAGGCCTAGATCTAAGCATCTCACCAAAATGAATAACCTATGTTAATTGGGCTAAAAAAATACTTTCTAGGTTGTGTTTTCAAATTTTTCTTTTTTTGTGATTGTTCATTAGAATGAAAAGAGTGTATAAGTCAAAATTTGGATCAAACAAATTATCATAAGATAGTTTTTTAAGGTTGTTGCATCATATTACTATACAATGGTTGCATGAAATGATTGCTCTATTTTATCACTAACTTTTTCTACCCTTCAAAAGAATGATGTGTTTCCATACGTGGCATTCTCTACTATCTTTAAGTTAGTTAATGTGTATTTTGGTCTTCCCCCCTTTTAAAATGTAAATGGAAGGGTTTTGCTTTATTTAAATAAAAGTTGTAAAAGGATGGAAATGGAGTTAGATAAATAAGCGAGACTTGCCTTTGAAAATAGAGAGGTTCAAGAAAACAAAGGGAATAACAGAGAGCACAAGAGAAAGCCGATGGTTGAGGGAGGTACAGATGACTGCAAAAATTAATTTTTAGTATTCTATACTTTTACTGAAGTTTATTAACATGTTCCCATTTGATAGCAAGACCAGAATGTTGTGATTTAATCGAGTCTTTGAGCATGCAATTTAGAGATTTAGGAAAAGTTTCATGATCTGGTTGTGTCATGGGAGTATTATCGCCAATACCATGTGCTTCTTAGTTTCTAGCAGAGTCAGGGGCCTTGACCACTTTGAAGAAAGCGAGTTTCTCTCGTGCCTTCAAATCTTGAACTATTTCTCTTTTAAACTCTGAAACCATATTTAATTCCTACTAGAATTTAACTGAAACTAGGAGTGCATCGATTGCCATATATAACATCTGAAACTTGATCCAATTCTTGCGGTAATTTAACTGGGACTGCATTTTCTGGATATATTTGTACCGAAACTAACTCCGATTAAAAGGGAGCTTCAACAAAAAGATTTCAGGACGAGAGTGTTAGAAAAACTAACAATTGCGACGGATTTAATTGACGAGATGTCGTTGAAAGCAATCACCTAGGATTTTATAAGATTGGATTGTTTTTATATAATTAATTTTATAAAATGGTAGTAGTCTAAGGTCTTATTTTTGCTAAGGACCGTAAAAGTTGATTATGCACTAAGAAAGCCAAGTCCGGTTGCTGCAATCACACCCTCAAAATTTATCGATGACCACTAATTAGATTGTCGAAGAAATCATAGAATGTGATGAAAATGATAACAAATGTAAATGGTAAATATCATGAATGCTTTAATGATCATTTGTTTGATCTTTAGTCATAAATGCCAACAGCAAAGGACCTGCGGGAAGTTTTGGAAGCCAAAATAAAGAAGAAGATGCTGATAGGAAGAAGTATCTCATTAGCAGATATTAAAATTTTAAAAATACATAAAAAAATTCATATTGGTTCAAATATATGATTTTTAGATTATAGCCAATGAACTACAATTAATTGGTATTAAATTTGATTCATCATCATTTCATGTCAAAGCAATAATCGATAAGTTATTGTCCTTTTGGAAAGATTATAGGAACGCACTGATGTACAAGTCAAAAGACTTCGGCTTTGAACAATGTATTACCCATTTGAGAATTGAAGAGGAGACTAGACTCTGAGATATAAAAGAGTACAAGTTCCAAATAGTCATCAGAGTACATGTAGCTGAAGGGTTAAAAAAGAAGAAGCCTTTAACTAAAAAAGGTATGAAGATAAAAGAAAAGAAAGACACCATAGTTGTATATGCAAAGACAACTAAGGATAAGGGTAAGAAACTCTGGGAATGCTATTTCTTAGGTAAGGCTGGCATGTATAGAAATTTCACTGAATTAAAAAAAAAGATAGCGGGTACAAGCCAATGTGGTCAAAGAAAGATTTTTTGTTATGATCTATGAAGCTAATGCTGTAGGAGGCACTATAGATGGTGGATGGACTCTAGAGCCCCTATACATGTTTGTAATAACAGAAACATGCTTAGGACCTATGAAATGGTGGCAGAAGATATGATCCTTTATATGGGTAATTATTCATCCGTTATAGTACTTGGTACATGGACGGTTGGATTGAAATTCACGTTTGGCAAGATCCTCACCCTTCTAGATGTGTATCATGCCTCCAAAGTGTAGAGAAACTTCGTGTTAGCATCCTGTTCAATAAGAGGTGTTTCAAACTTGTCTTCGAGTCGGACAAATTTGTCTTGTTGAAAACTGATGTCATTGTAAGAATGGGTTATGCTACTAAAGGCATGTTTAAGCTCAATGTAAATAATGAAATTGATACCTCTTCTTTTGTATATGCACTTGATTCTTTTTCTTTATGGCATGGTAAATTATGTCATATTAATTATCATGCTTTAAGAAAAAAGAGTACTTCAGACCTAATTCATAAGTGTATGAATTTGAAAAATACTCTGTGTGATATATGTATACGATCAAATATTACAAAAAGACCCATTCCTATAGCAGAAAGAAGTTCCAAGTTACTAGAATTAATACATAGTAATGTTTGTGGTCTTAGGGGCCCAAATCCCCACTAACATGCCACTTTAAGATAATGGGGTTGGGGTCGTGGTGGTAGTACCACTTGTGCCCCAACTAAGGTATAGAATTCCATTCCCAATTAAAGCATTAAAAAATTACTAACGATTTGAAAAAAATGGATAGGGGCTCGTCATCCCACTAATTACTAAAAAGAAAAAAAGAAGAAAAGAAGTACATACTCGTGGTGGGAAAAAATACTTTGTCACTTTTACTTTTTCAACTTCATTTAGATGTATTTTGTTTAATCTTTATTTTAAACATACATTCCTTATTTTTTTAAAAAAAATTATTTTTGTAGTTTTTTGTATTTTTAACATTATTTAGCTTCAACCGTACTCGACACAACTTAGGCTTGGGCCCAGTGCACGGCCCGAGTCATTAAATCGAACATTGGTATAGAATTCAAAGTGTACCGACATAAAGGGAGCACCTCTTTAGCTGGTCAATGTCAACCAATGTTATCAAATTCGCTTCGTTTCGGCTGAAGCCGTCGGATTTTACGAATAAACCAAACCGAACCGATGCCTAATGTTGCCACTTCGATCAAATTCAGACTGCTTCGGGCCACTTCGGGTAGATTCGGGTATGTTTCGGCCAGCAAAAAATAACTATATAAAACTGTTTTCTTTTTAAGAAAAAAAAAATTCCATTATATATAAATATCTAATTTATTTATATTAAGTTATTTAAAAAAAAATCTGTAATCTTCTCCCAATTAAGTCGAAACAATGAATTGCTTCATTGTTTTTTTAGGAAACCAAAATAGACTCTGAAGCGCGAATGTGACAACATTAATGTCTACAACTAATTTATGGGGATGTACACAATGAGGTCATTTACTATTCCTACAATAGGATAGTATCATCATTGCCGTCCATTGCAAATAAGGGATGGCTTAAGTGTGTCGTTTGCTTCTCAAAAATCAAAGAGGTCACCACACCCCTTCTTCTGTACATGCGGGGGAGGTGGTATAGGACCTCTCACATCAGCAACATCTCCCAAAATTCCAAACAACTCCTTTGTAAGGGATGAGAGAGAATAACATCTCCCAAAATTCCTAACCCAACTCCTGTATGAGGGATGAGAGAGAATAAATAACAAGAGAGTGCAAAACGTTGAGGAAAGGGATTTTAGAGGGACAGAGCCTATACACCATTCTTCGCAACAAACATCTACCAGTAAGGGAGAATGAGCAGGAGAACTTTCAGATCTATCCCAATAACCTTTACTACATGGCAGTCTCCAAAGAACATTTTTACATAAATAAAAAAATAAAAAATTGAAAGAAAAAAATGTCTGTGTAGGTCACCCAGCCAATTTCCAATAATCCCGCAAAAAATTTGAAATTTCAAACAATTATGCGGCGTTGGTACTAGCAAATCTCGACGGAAAACCGACGAGAAACCCATCGGAATTGTCGTCACGATCGCCGTCAAAATTTAGAGCATAGCTTTGTGGATCGTACTTGTACTGAGGCTTACCCTGTTTCTTAAAACGCAATCGACGTATAAACGTCTTCCACTTAGGCCCAGCCAGAATTTCAGACCACTCTCTTCCTTTATCCCACCCCTTTTTCCACCACTCCTCTTTGCTTCCTTGGTTTCTGAGAAGTTGCTTTTCCTGAACACCTGTATCTCTTTTCCCGAAACAATTCCATTGAAAACAACAGAATCCGGTCCCTTGAAAATCTTCATCGTAGCCTTCTTCTTCTTCCTCTTCTTTTCGGAAAACTGGCACATTTGGAGCAGATGCCATGAGAGAGATGGCACTACAGATCTATGGTTAAGGTTAAGCAGATGCAGAGAGAGAGAGAGAGCTACAGGCCTGCAGATAAGATTAAGATGTAGAATAGTATTTATAGTAAGGCATGGGATGGGATGGGATCGTTGGTTTTGTACAGGTCGTAGTCTGACTTGCCGGCCGCCTGCAGCTCCAACGCGCTCCCCACTTCCGTGCAGTTGGACATAAAATTTGGAGGCACGGTTCCTCTCCTCCTTCTAGACCAAGTACTGCCGTTTTATTTAAAAAAGAACCAATTTAAAAAAAAAAAAAAACAAATTATTGTCCAGCTTGGATTCGGAGGGAGCATACACCGCTTGTGTATGGTACAACAACCCATTTTTAAAGAAACAAGGGAATCTAACTGCTAAACCAGGGAATCTATCTGCTAACGCTCTTGCTAGATCGAAACCTGCCAGTTTTGGTTTTGGTGATTGACGGTATTTTAAAAAAAAAATTTATAAAATCTCTATAAATTCTTAAAAATGAAGAATTTGGTTTGTAATGTAGTTTTAAATATTTTTTATTTTATGGTAAAGATTAAAAATTGTTTTTGTCATTAATACTCATTTTAATTAAAAAATTGATTCGTTAAAATCTATTTTTTTCTATTAATTTTCAACTTCATTTGGATGTGTTTGGTTTTAATCATTCTTTATATACTTTTCATATTAGTAGATTTTGTTTTTTGTATCTTTTTAATTTTTTTCAACACTTTTTTGACTGCCCAGGACTTGTCCGGTTAGAACAATTGAATCGGCCGGTCGACAGGTTAGTTCGGTTAAACCGCTTCCGGGCCCATATCCGATTAACCGTTCCGATTCGATTTTACGAACACTACACCAACCACTAGTTATTGTTTACTCCGTCCGATGAATGTACACAAAGAGCCGCGTTTTGAAATCCAGATCGGTAGAGTTGATCATTCACCTTACAAATCCATGTCCATGTGTTGAATTGGCAATGTCGATCGGTCTGAATCGGTGATTTAGATATATATTAAAAATAAATAAAACAAAATTAAAATAAGAGTTTATGGTGGGAATTTATGGAAAATCTAAAAAAATATAAATAATCTTATAGGAAAATAAAAAGAATTAGGGGCAACTGAGCTCTAATGCATATCATCTCAGAACCGTTTTGGTCCCTGACCTATTTCCCTTCTGAATAAGCAAATCCAAATCGGGAATCCAAAATACTCTAAATGAGTATTTTTTCTTTTTTTTTTTTCTTTTTGACAGGAGTAATAAATATTATTAGATCATGGGTACAATGACAGTGATAAAAAGATTGAAACAACGAAGGAGAAACAACCAAAGAGTCTACAAAGTATTTTTGTTTCTTTCATGGGAAAATTTGGGATCCATAATAGATTAACCTCATGAGTTATCATAAGCAATTGAAACTGGATTTGAGTTCCCCAGTAGTTAGATTTGACCAGCTAAATATTGAACTTCAAGGCTGTTATTTTACTTAAGCACATAAACGATACATCTCAAATTATTTTTTTATTTTCCTTTCTGTGAAGTTTTTTTGTGGGTGATATTTTTCTCTGAAATTGGTCACATGGATGAAGAGACTGCACACCTCATTTGAAGTTCTTAGGAGAACTCATAAATAATGCTTAAGCTTAAGCTTAAGGCTGGGAAGGGTGGGGCCTAGGTCGGCCCAGCCTTGGCCCTAGCCCGGCCTGGCCTTAGTCGAGGCAAAGAAGCCCTAGCCCAAGCTCGAACATAGCTCGAGTTGGGCCTAATACACTTGAAGGGGGGTAAAAAAGAAAGAAAAAAAAAAAACACAAATGATCGTCCAAGTCCATATGATGGCCTTGGCCTATGCCTGGCTCAGCCCTACTCCTCCGTCCATGATGGCTTAACAATCGATATAGGGGACGAAGTTGAGTATGGGATGGCATGGGTCCTGACCTTGGTCCCATGAAAATGCCATGCTTTTATATTGTTGTTTGTTTTTAAGTTAATCTGATGTTTTCATCGGTCCTCAAAAATCCCTACCCATAAATTCTTATTATAATTTTTATATTATTTTTCAATACTTTTTGGATCGCTGGTTCGAACATTCTATATCTGTGTCGACGCTCTAGCAATGTCACGTGGATCTATTGGGTGAATGATCTACCTCATCAATCCAGGTTTTGCAACACTGGTTCCAACCGCTCAAATGAATCAAAGCATATCCAACAGCAAAAAAATTAATTTTTTTACCTGAAATTTGCAATGTCAACCCATTAGGGCGCACCAAAAAAACACTAAAAAAATATTTTGAACGAATGAATTGACTCAAATGCACATCCAATTGAGGGGTAATTTGGTTATTTTTATTTTAAAAAGTTTTTTTGAGTACATCGTTTATTGATTTTCTACTCCCCAATTTTTATCTCAATAAGATTTGTAACTAGAAACGAAAACAAAAAGACTTTAGGACTAAGTTCAATATGAAATTCTGGACTATTATATAGTGCTTGTGCACCATTCGAAACGCTACAACACCCCTTCCATAAAATATTTTTCCGTAATATGATCCATATTGTCAATGTCCAAGCAAACGGTCAGGAGATGTTGGGATCACGCTTTTGGTGAGATCAGCTCCCTCCATCACCATCCATCCACCCCGTTGATGGTGGTGATAATAACGTTCTTGTAATCTTGATATCACATGGATTATTTTTTATTTGGACCTGGTTTCTATGTTGCCAAGCCTGTATATCTAAAAATGCGGGCCCATTAATTAATCTATTTTTTTGAAATCAATTACTATGAATTTCATTCACCCATGAATGATTACAAGGAGGTTCACGAAGAAAATGATGTAATTACCAATGAATATTGGTGCACACTACCTTTTGCTAAAGCATCAACTTCTATATTACCCTCCCTAAAACAATGAGATAACTCAAATGAACCACTACTTGAAATAAAAAAGATTTCATCGAAAATACTGCATATTCACCAAGGTGGCTTTATTTCTACTTTGCTCAAGTAATGACATTGTTTGAATCACCTTCAATCATCTTTTGGCCCTCAAGGTTCTTTATTATCTTTAAACCCTCTAAAGAGCTATTGCCTCAGTTTCATGCACTGTTGTATGTCCACATGGTCCCGAGTAGGTGAATTTTTAATTATCCATATGATCTCTAATGGTATCACCATAACTTGCTGCGTCTGGGTTTCCAATCGAGCTTCCATCAGTTTTAAGTAATTTTCATGAGAAGGCATCTAAATAGCATTTCAAGTCTGCCTGTCATTGTTAAGTTTAGCAATTTCAGATGGGTTCTAAAAAATATTTGATTTTAGGATAAACTTACAATTCTTGTTTGTTGGAAACCATTCATCTACTGTTACTAAGGTGTTGGACTTCAAAACTTCAATATCACTTTGTGTCCCTTGAAAACCTATTAACTAATCTATTTTTTAGATGAATTTTTTGATTTAATTTTTAAAGATAGTAATCTCTAACATGGAGATCATAGATATGAGAAAAAAAGTAAATTTTAAAAATTAAAAATAATAATTTTAATAAAAAAATATTTAGACCGCTAGTTTCTATTGCTTTTAGATGAAACACCCCGCATGTAACGATTTTCCTTTTTATTTTTATAGCTGTATACGTCACGCGATTTGTACACGGAAGACGTAATATCTGCGGCTTTTCTTGGAAGGAATGTGGCCCTTTCGTTTTTCGTTATAGGATGTTGAGTCAACAATCTTGACCCACTTATTTCTTCTTTATTCTTCTTGGTGGACTGCGTGTGGCGAAAGGCATTTTTTTATCATGGGGGTTAATGAAAAAATGGCGTGATTTACGTAAAGACTTTAAAATTTTAAACAAATTATAAAATGTTCTACTTATATACAAAACATACAAAAGAAAGTCGGTCAACTCACATTTACTTTTTTTTTTTTTCAAAATTATCTCTTGATTTATTTTTTTCAAAAATTATAAAAAAAGTTGGTCAACTCAAATTTTGATTTATTATTTATTTATTTATTATAAATTTTTTGTTAGTAGGGTAGTGCCCTAAGCTTTAAGACGCTGTCTTACTAATGAAAAAAACTAAAAAAAACAAAATTCGAGTTGACCTAAGGGCAGTTTTGAAAAAAAATGGGTTAGCAGACTTTCTTTGTAATTTTCATATATAAGTGGAACATTGTGGCATTTCGTATTTTACGTTAAATTTTAGGGTCTGTACATAAATCACTCGAAAAACTAAAAGGGCAATTTAGAGAAAGAAAACAGTTCAGGGGTTCTTTGACCCCTTGTTTTTAAATTAGGGGGGTTCATGGGTTGCTCATTGATGAGAGGGTATATATGGGACAAAAATCGTAGATGGGGTTTTTTGTATTTTTTCTCTTATTTTTGGAATAAAGAGGTGACAATCATCGATGGTCATGAGATGTCGAATTCAACTGCTAGGAGTATCACAAAGTTTGATAAATATTCTTTTAAACTTTGAGTATGTTCAATAGTACAGCTCTAACTACCCAATCCTAAATCTGACAAACAAGAGCAACTGTCGTATCCTTATATCAAAAAATAAGTAGTCTAATATATTTTTCCCAATCTTTATTGTGCGTGAGGCCTTAGGTCCACTTGCATTTTTCGTAAATTTAGAATATGAAAGGCATCCCAAAAGAGGGAAAATTTATTGTGAAGATATATCAGAGTTTATCATTGAAATGGTTCCTTTTTTACTTTTTAATGGAGTTGCTCCTTTCTCACTTTATAGAAAGAAAATATTACCATAGCAAGGTTGTAAAATATTACCATAGCAAAGTAAGAAGGCGTATATTGAAATATTGCCATGGTAGAAAGATAAGATAGTGTATATTGCTATAACTTTGTATTACCATTATATATACAATGAAAGAACCAACCCAACAGATTAATAAAAAGCACAATTATCTTATCAAAAGTTCTTTTATCTCTCTATAATTCTTTATGGTATCAGAGAGCAGGCAGCA